TTGGAAGTAATTAAGTTATCTGACATGGTTGGTGTAGACTATATTTTTCCGTGCCATCTCAGTGTTGTCAGGACTACCACGCTGAACATATTAACTTTCGTGTCCCCTTGAACTCCGCGGCGTTTCCAGAAGGTGGTCTCTTGCTGCTAGTAGGCCTGACCGACTTTGAAGATCCGGTGGACAACTCAGCCTTCGCGTTTGGCATTTTTTGGAATGATACTCATGAGGTATGTTAATTCGTCTACTGGTGCAAGCTGGGTTTCATTGGGTTTGATACGCGGTTCGTTGTATTCCACTTGTATGTCAATCCCGATTCAAATCATAATAACGAATGGCCACTAGAGTTTAGAGTAAACCCGAATCGTGAAGGAAGTAAATTCTACAGAGGTCAGGAAATTGGAGCCATATTAAAAAAAACTTTACAATTCAGAGAACACTGTCTCGTGTTTAACATTTTTAATGTCAAAACTATTTCATCATCATGAGGTTGGCGCACCAGTTGTGTTAGCTGCTTTGATATCTACTTTGGAATCCATCATAGTTGATCCCGTTCAACACCTTCGTCAAACCAACGAAGGTAGAATAGGGTTTGGTACACTGTTCATGGATATACGGTTCCTGCGATAGCTGTACTGCCTTTCCGGGCAAATTTCGGGCCCTGAGTACGTGCTACGTCTGTTGAAGTGGACGCGAGCGATGATCTTCTCTGCGCTGCTGATCAAAGATATGCATCTGTGAGTTCACAGTGTTTTCTGTTTAATCTGCGCTTGTAAATATGCACAACAGTTGTCTCCTCGAATTAACGGGGAACTGTTTTCTATCGCATATTTGAAAGATGACTGCTGTCAGCTCGGCCATCAACCAATGACAGTTTTACTTGAAGATATCATCTGGAACTACGCTAGCTCTCGGAAGTTTTCCCTTGCTCCCTCTTTACCGTGTTGATGACAATAGTACTGTTGGAAGCATTGGCCCCGCGCTCTAATTTATACTCTTCCCAGCACCTCTAGTGGAAAGAGTGCTGCAAACGCTAAAAGAGGCACAATAGTCCGTTCTGTCAATATACTGGCAAGTTCTTGAAAGAATTGGCGATCGAGCTCTTCAAAAAACTAGTGCATATCTTTCGTTCGTCGTCTGAGTTAGAGAGACTGCCTTCCTAATGGCAGAAGGATAATATATACCCGAAATACAAGCGTGGTTTTCGAATGAAAGTCAACAGTTATCGGCACGCCAGCCTAACCTAC